CCCAGGGTTTCCTTCGAGGTTCTGCAGGGGGTGAATGCAGCCGCCTGGGCTGTGAGCTTCTTGTTGGCTCAGCCACAGCCTCACCTAGTGGGGGAGAAGCTGTGTGGGGGCACAGCAACAGTTACTGCAGGCCTGGCTTCTCCTTTGCAGTAGCAGTAGCTGCTTCCTTTGGTTTCCCCGTTGACGAAGCTGATCCCCTCGTTGTCAGGATGCTTCGTGGTCTGCTCCTGGCTCAGATGTACCAAACCCTTTGTCAAGTGGGTTCTGCTCTGCCCTCTCCCCTGGGCAACACTAAGCACATGCCCTGCTGAGGATCCTCTCATGCAACCAGCCCTGGCTACCAGCTGATGTGAAGGTAAGGGCAAAGGCTGCCTCAGGTTCTGTCCAGAGTCCTGGAGAGCAGCTGCTGGGCTGGGGCTGCCATGATGGCTCGGGCAGCGACACCCTCAGAGGGACAATGTCAGCTACAGCTGTGAACCCTGGGAGGAGCTGGGTGCTAGCTAGCCTGGCTGGAAGCAAAGGCTGATGGACGTGGGCTGTATGGTTTCCCTGTACACACATCTCCAGGAGATGGGATTTTCAGGAGAGCTGGGCCTTTGTGATGGCCCAGCAAGCTAGTGCTTCACTTCATGTTACTGCTGCTGCTATGGGCCAGCAGGGGGCAGCAGTGTCCAACACACAGCTGGCCTGGTGACCTGGTCCACAGCCCTGGCCCCCTCAGACTAGATAGGAGGGGAGGATTGTGAGCAGGGTTCACACTCCATGTCTTCTTGTCCTCTGTTTGACAGACACTTCCTCTCTCTGCTTCCCCAGGCTCAGTCACACCTCTCAGAATCTGAGCCTGAATTGCCTCCTGGTGCCAGCTTTTCTGGATGATGCCGAAGTCACGTGGGGCGAGAATCATTCCAGCCACCACGATCTGGATCCATCTGCACCAGCAACCAGCTGACGAGGAACCATGTGCTCCATCTCTAATATCAGCACAGCCCAGCTGGATGGTCCTTGCTGGGCAGCAGAGCAAGGCTGCAGGGCCACATGGCTGTGAGCTAATGCCATTCCCACCCTGGCCCTGTCTCCTGCCCCGTGCCCCTGAACCAGATTCCAAGGCCAGTACCTCAGCAAAGACGATGATTGCAGGGCAGCCCCACACTGTGCAGAGCGCCCAGCCCACCCATGAGTCTAGGTCCCCAGGATGTGCAGCAAAGGGTCAGCGGCAGTGAGAGAGGCCATGTGACAGTGGTGCCAAGCAGGAAGTGGAGGGCGCTTGCAGAGGGATGGGGTGGCAGTGCTGGGGTGTGCAGCAGCAGGAGGCAAAGCCAGAACAGCAGCGAGCAGGGGTGGGGGATGAGGGGTTAGTGGGGTTAGCAGCAGGAGATGGAGCTCTGCCTGCAGATGATCTGGCCTAAGCATTTCAGCTTGCAGCCATCTCTTGCAGAGAAGGTGGAATGCATCCTTAAAGGGCCAGCACACTCCTGCAGAGGCAGGAGGGGGCTGCTTGGTGTCTGTGCTGTCTTCTTGCAGGAAGTCTGTGAATTCCTTCCCAACAGCCACTGTGTGCGCAGGGGCCAAATTCAGCCCTGGTGTAAGTGGGCTAGCAAAGTCAACAGGAATTATCCTTCCTAGGCCAAATTCAGCCCTGGAGTGAATGCCAGCCTTCGATGGGGAACCTGATCCCTGGTTGGGCTGGACATATTCACAATGCCTTGAGCCTGGAAGGAGGCAACAGCCCTACTGGGGCCCTTATGCACTACCTGATTCCCAGGGTGCATGAGGAGTGCCAGGGCCCCTGGCATGGGCAATTCTGTTCCACACGCCTTCCCTGCACATGAATAATGGTCACCCTGGCACTCTGCCCTTACTAGACAACACCAATCCCAGAGCAAAAGGCAGTGCAGTGTGGGCATGGGATACCCTCCTGCTCCTCCAGCCTGGGGGAAAGTTTGGTGAAGGGAAGAGGGTGACTCTTCAACCCCTGGAGCCCATGTGTCAGACTTTCCCTATAACTGGGAAAGAGAGGGTCCACTGAAATACACCCAGGTGTTGTAACCAGCACAGATCCACAGCAAGGACCTGGAGAACCTGGGGGGAGGAAGGGCATCTCCCACCACCCTGGTGGTTAGCTTTGTTGATCCCCACAAGAGGAACAGCACTGCAGGCCACTTACCGCACCACTCGTCTACCCAGGCAAACGCCTGTCGGTGTCCTATCAACAGGATGTCCCGGATCACCTGCAAGCCGCAACACAGTTAGAGCCCTGG